ATACAAAACCGATGCAAATATCTGGCTTCACCTGATTTTAGGGCCCCACAGACTGCGTTTTTGTTGGACGGATTTGTTCGACGAGCAAATCTGGTCGAGCAAAAACGACGCAAAACCGAAGTGTGTGTGCGAAAAATTGTCATTTTTGCTGGCATACAAAACCGATGCAAATATCTGGCTTCGCCTGATTTTGTCCGTCGGATATGTTCGATATGTTAACAAATCTGAAGTGTGTGGGCTACGAATTTTAAAAAGGACGGTTTTGTGTGGTGGTTGGTGCGTAGCTACATAATTTTACATTATTAAAATTTAAAAAAAAAAAAAACTTCCCAACATGACTGATGTTCGCCAAACTAAACCGAGGTCTGTGTACAACTGCGATCCATCGTTTTTGCTCGACCAGATTTGCTCGTCGAACAAAACCGTCAAACAAAAACGCAGTCTGTGGGGGCCTTTATGTTCGAAATGTCAACAAACCTGAAGTGTGTGGGCTTCGAATTTTAAAAACGACGGTTTTGTTTGGTGTAAATTATATGCATGATTTCTTCCCCGCGTGAGGTGGTGTTTTGGGGCCCCCCTTAATCCGGCCCTGCCAAGGTATTACATGGTTATAATAGTTCAGTAGGAAATAATAGTAGATTATACAATATTAGTCAATAATGATAGCTATTATTCCCGAGGATAATTACGAACTGAGCCGCGTTAGCGGCGAGGGAGTAACATTCCGAGGGAATAATAGCCATTATTGCGAGTAGTATACTCTACTTTATTTACGACAAATTAATTTATTTGAGATTTTCAATGAACAAATTTCATCCGTCTCATAATTTTCAATACAAATCCACACGCACTACACGTTTGACACTGACACTTTTGTGGAATAATGGCCATTAATCCCGCTACTCGTCATTAATCCCTGGAGGAATAACATATGTCATTATACTGCCAAAATCACAAATATAATACGCACATTATACATTAGTCGTAAATAAAACATTTTTAAGTCTAGGACTGCTCGCTTCGCTCGCCAAATCTCAAAGAGAAGATCGTTGGAAGCATTAATTCACCAAAAACGTGAAAAACCTTTTCTTTGGTAATTTCCAAGCCTACAACTATTAGCCAATTCAATCCATCTGTCAAAAAGAAAAATTCAATATGGCGTGGCGGCCAAGCAAGTTTGTTTTGAATATGTTTTTATGCGTATTTTAAATTATTTTGCTTAGAGTTTTGCTTGCAACTTTGATTTTGATTATTTAATAAAATATTTGTTGACTAGGTATCTAAACTATTGAATCGGGCAGAAATTATATATTTTTTTGTATTTTTTTGCCCATGTGTGGCCGCCACGCCATCTTGAATGTCACGTGGTTTGAATTGCCTAATAAAAGGCAAACAACTGATAAAATATTATGGTTTTATTGAATCTTTACGGAAAAATAACTATCGGTAATGTCGACCATAGCCGTCAGGGGTGTTATTCCCACGGTGCCATATTGAATTGAGAGACTGTCAAATAAGAATAAAGCTCCAGCCAAGGATGATACAAACTATTACACAATAGTACTACAGATGGCCTATCCTCATAGGCCTGTGTGAAACAAATATCCTCCCTCTCAGTCTCAACCACACCAGGGATGTGCGTCTACACGTAGACTTTCATTGTCTACTTCACGTGTAGACAATTTAGACAACGTGTCAATAATGTAAAATAATATAAATGACGTTTAATTCTAACCTCCCACTTTCCTTTTCGAAAATTATTTTTATTTTATTATCGGTTTTGCTCATGTTTCTATTCAGTGAATGCTGATATCAAAGTGATAGGTATAAGCTACTTAGGTATAGTTCATACCAAATAAACTTGTTGTTGTGACATCGATGACGCCATTTTTAAAATCGATATCGCCAACCGTGAAAATATTCGGCGTCGGATTGACTTAATTGGAATTTGAATTTCCCGCTGGCCATTCAGTTGGTAACACCATGTCAAAAAATGTAACGTTGCCAAATTAAATTCTTGACATTTTGATTGCATTTTGGCAGTTTACGAGTTTTTGGTTTGTGCTGTTAATTGTGACCTTGTTTTTTGAAATCAGCTTGTAGTGCGAAGTGTACAAGATGCCGAAACAGCTTAACAGCCGTTGCAAAGAACTAATCGCATCCTTTTTACAATATTTCGAACGAGAACGCGATAATAATGGCCCTTAATGTCCCTTAAATGCTGTTAGGAAGGTGAGTTTATAAGTCGTTGCTGTCGTGTGACCAAATACGAATTTTTAATTTGAACTTTCTCTCATTTTTAGCGAGTAGCAGAGGCTTTAAACTTAAGTATGTCCACTGTCTGTGCTATTTCGAAGGCAGTAAAAAATAATGAAGATTTGGAATCGCCTTCTAAGAAACGATGCACTTCGAATAAGAGAGTCTGTTATGTTTCAAAGCTCGATAGCAGTGCTATACATAACACTATTTACGATATGTGTATAAAAAGTAAATCGTTTGAGACAAAGGTACATCTAGATATCTATGAATCGCCTTTTTTCTTCTTGTAGAACAGCATGTAACATTATCCTGTATATGGGGGCAATTGAAAGACAAACAATTATTTGATGGCAGTAGCATGCCATTGAGTAGAATCTTAAAAGAAATAGGCTTCAAATGGAAAAAAGATGACCCAAGACGAGGGCTCATGGAACTTCCTGGGACTTTATTCTCGAAACAGGGGAGCAGCGCTCTCATGAGAACGAAGGCTCTGTCTTCATCGTCCGTATTCATATTTCCATAACACTGACAATGACAAAGCAATCGTTCTCATGAGAACGCTGTTCCTCGGTTTCACGAATAAAGTCTCTGATATTGCTGTTAAACGCATAACATTTTTAAGGTCTTATCTAAGACTGAAACAGGAGGCTTTGTACCAGTTTGTTTTCTTGAACGAGACTTGGATTTTTCAAAATGGTACTATTAACCGTGGGAAGACAACAACAAGCGAAGTGTTAAAACTACCAAAGTTGATGGTATAGGTAAATATAAACATGAATACAGAGAGCAGTGTATTATATGTACAAAGAAATGCTTTTTCTAGATATATCATACCTACTTCATGCTGGCACTGAAAATGGATTCATTGAAGGTACATCGCTTGTATATTCATCGAAAACTCAACTTAACGACCATCATGAAGAAATTAATCAGCAAAACTTTTTATGTTGGTTCGAAAATCAGCTGTTGAAGAACTTGAGTGAACTATCTGTCATTGTTATAGACAATGCTCATATGGCATACGCTCTTCCACTTCAATAGCATACATCCTTTCACTTATCAATATTGATGAAGACTCTAGCGATTTCAGCGATTTCAGTGATCCAGAATAATTGAAAATCTTCTTGATGGATCAAATATTCATAATATTTAATAAGATTTTTATAGTATTTAGAGTGGCTGTAAATAAAATAGGTACTGAGCGTTATTATTATATTTTATGTGATGATTGAAAATTGAGTTGTTATTAAATATCTATAAAACCAAGCTTTGAAGCAATGTTTATAATTTAAGTAATAAATGTTTACATTATATTATAATACAATAATCCATTATTGTTTCTGAAAATATTTTGACCAAAGGAAAATATGGAAGAGACGGCAACGCTGTGCCGGCCGAGCTTGACAACCCGACTGTAAGTTTATTTGGTATGAACTATAGTAGCAATTTTGGACCTTTTTTTTCAATTTTTTAAAATAAGTTTATTGTTTACGCCACATGTAGACAATGTGTGGACAAATGCCCACGTAAACAATTCGAATTGTCTACGTGTAGACAATGAATTGTTTACGTTTACATTGTCTACAGGCACATGACTGAACCACACCCGCACCAAATCACCAGCAGGGATGTGCGTCTACACGTAGACTTTCATTGTCTACTTTACGTGTAGATAATGTAGACAATCAGGCCTATGATGTATCCTGTCCAGTTATTTTAACGGCTGTGTTAAGGCTCAACATCTATTTCTGTCTCTATTTTGACGTATAGAATAAACAGTGACAGATAACTTAACGTTGCTGTTAAAATAACAGAAAATGATATATCATAGGCCTGAATGTAGACAATGTAGACAACGTGTCAACAATGTAAAATAATATAAATGACGTTTAATTCTAACCTCACACTTTCCTTTTTTTAAATTATGTTTTTTTTATTATTGGGTTTCCTGATATTTTATAATCAGTGAATGCTATTATCGAAGTTATAGTGATAGTATAGTAGCTTTTGATATTTTTTTTCGAAATTTTCAAAGTAAGTTATTGTCTACGCCGCATGTAGACAATGTGTAGACAAATGCTCACGTAAACAATTCGAATTGTCTACGCGTAGACAATCAATTGTTTACGTCGACATTGTCTACAGGCACATCACTGATCACCAGTTGTGACGTAGCAGCATGTTTTTTTCTCGCCTTGATGTAGGCTGTTTAAACAGCTGACGACATATGATGTCGGAAATGGTGATACACCAATATGGCGGCGATTACCAAAAACGAGGCCGATAAGCAACTTGGATAAGCAATCCTGTAGGTGATTATCATCCATAATCCGTCATTCACAATTAAACGTGGCAACATCGAACATTTTCGTCCGAATTGCTTCAGTAGGCGAGTTCGATTTATCCTCCGCGAACAAAAAATGACTAGACCCACGTGATTAGTTCTATTAATTCAAATGAAAGATCACGTGAGCTTCTGTCAACAGTGTCATCTTTTAACTCGCAGAGGATTAACCGAACTTGCCTATTGGTACTACCAAGGGCGAGTTCGGTCAATTTTCCGCAAGCTGAAAAATGACGCTGTTGGCAGAAGCCCATGTGATCTCCGATTTGAAGTTTCAAAACTGATCACGTGCTCTTGACATCTTTTAGCTCGTTGACGATCAACCGAACTCCACTCATATTTAAAATTTATCCAGATCCGGAAATCTTGTATTTTGATTGAATATTTTGAGGCTCACCTTCGGATTGTTCCGATGAGAACAGCGAATCTTTCTCTTCTTCATCATAGTGTTTTTCTTTATCGGCTAAAATACTTTGAGGAGGGGCACTGGCACTAACGGCAATAGTACTCTCGGTTTTAGCTTTGTCCACGGACATTTTTCTTCCTTGGAAAACTCAAAAACGTCTCAAATGGATTCTTTTGGGGATTATATTGATCTAGCAACTACCAGTTGCCATGGAATTTATCAATCTATTTATTATTACTATGGAAACAATCAACAAATCATTTTATTTATTTTGAATTTTATTTCGCTTCCGGTTGGTTAGTATAATTTTTTCTCATTTCTGTCTGCTTCTCTTACAAGCTGTTAGAAAAGGATACAAATGAACTTGAATCTACCAAATGAAAAGACTAATTTGTATCGATATATTTGAGGGTATCGATAAGCGCTCTTCTAGTTTTAATCTGCCAAATGTCAATTCCATTTGTCAACAAAAATAATTTGTTTATTATTTTTAATTATTAATATTAATTTAATTTGTTGTTATTTCTCTCAAGAAAACCTTTTAGAATTACGTGAATCTCCTCTTCGTTTTGTCCTCATTGTTGAGTGAAGGAAATGGCGAGCAGGAGCATCATCGAGCCAGACAAAGACACCAAATTCAATTCGTTTTACACAGAGGTAAGCAATGTCCAACTTTTTAGAAACAACTTTATTATTCAACAATTTTTAGGTGAAAGAAATTGAAAAACGAGATTCTGTTTTAACGCCCAAACAACAAATCGAAAGACTTTTAAGACCGGGGGCCACATATCGAAATCTAAATCCTTTTGATGTTTTGCAAGTGGAACCTGATACAACTTTAGAGGAAATCAAGAAAAAATATAGGAGATTATCAATTTTAGGTAAGCATCCATATTTTGTAACAACACTGTCTATATTAAGCTGTTATTTTGCAGTCCATCCTGATAAAAATCAAGATGACCCGGACCGAGCTCAGCAAGCCTTTGAAGCAGTTAACAAAGCATGGAAGAGCCTCGAAAATGAAGAAACAAGAAAAAAATGCATGGGTATTATTGAAGAAGCTGTTGGAAGAACAGATCTTATGGTATGAAATTAAAAAATTCCTATCATTTGTATTTGTTTTAATTAATTTTGAAAAAATTGCATGAGTCAATGTTTGTATTAATATTATAGCCGGTCTGTTTTAGTTGGCAGAAAAAAGGAAAAAAGCCAAAAAAGAAGGGAGATCAGGCATCCCTGAAGATGATCCCGAAAAGTATAAACATGCAGTCTACGTTTTGACAATGAAACTTTTTGCAGATTTAGAAAGGAAACGCAGAGAGCTGGCCGACCGCGATCAGGAGGAGCGCAAACGGAAGCGGGAGAATGAAATCGAGGAGGAGGAGAACGCCAAAGCCCAAAAAGAATGGCAGAAAAATTTCGAGGTAAGATATTGTGATACCTAAAAGTTTTAGTTAAAAATATAATTTTTTTGTAAAGGAATCCAGACAAAATAGGGTGAGTAGTTGGCAAACATTTCAAGCTCAAGGGAAGAATAAAACCAAAAAATTAAAGGTGTTTAAACCTCCCAAAAATAAACCAGAATCTAGATAAAATATTTTTAGGGGTAGATATTAAGGTATATTATTAAGATTTTGTTAATCAGCTACCCTTTTTCTTTTTCAAAGTCACTGGGTTTTTTTTTGATAAATCCATAATTTCTTCATTAACACTACTGTAGAATGTTATTATGATTGTGAATATTATTCTAGTTTCAATAAATACTAACACATAAATTGTCTGATATACTTCTTATTATTATGTCATGGTAAATTACTACATGTGCAAAACGACTAGAGCTGTTGCTGTTCAACAAGAGGCGCTTCAATACTGTACACCTCAATAATAAAACAACATTTTTAATAAACATATTATACTCTGACAATTCAAACAAAAATTTAAATCTTTCCAAAAATAACACACCAATTCCCTTGATCGTAGTAACTTTTCAAAATTTGAATATTATCAATTTTCTGACACATCTGCTCCAATTCGTTTTCTTCAAAAACATGATAGAACCTTAAAAAAGTTGTTTCATTTTTGTCCTTAAGTTTCCACGGTACTAAAACATCTTTAGCCTGAAAGTTGCTTCTGTTGTTATGCACTGGAAGAGTCACATTTCCATTTTGCAATGGAACATCAACTTGACCTAAACATAAAAGAATAAGCAACTTTAAGCCTCAATTATTGCAATTTAAAATGTTTCACCTGTAACCAATTTATCCATTTGTGTAACTTTTCTGTTTTTCCTATCTTGCATAATATAACTAGATTTTTTTTCATTATTAATTTGATTGTGGGCCCAAACATAAACCAAAGCCCTGCCACCTGGTTTCAATACCCTAACCATTTCTCTGAGTGCTTTTAGTCTCCTTTGCTCAGTAGCTAAATGATGAATAACAGCTATACTTATAGCACCATCAGCTGAACTATTTTTTAAAGGCACTGAGAGACAATCGCCTATAAAACCTTCATATTGTCTTTGGCGGCATATATCTATTAAACCCATACTACGATCACAGCCTGAATTTCAATAATCAATATTAATTTATTCAAAAATACCATTATTATCTACAAACCTATAGTAAATATTTTTTGATTTATGCCTAAATACTTTCCATTGCCGCACCCAACATCTATCAAAATATCCCCATAAGCAAAAGACTGTACAAACTCCAAAACATTAGGCCAAGGTTTATGCCTAGTATCACTGAAATGATCAGCAATATTGTTGTAAACTTTATGCACATGCATGGCTTCTAATTCAAGAGCAACATTATCCTCAATATCATTATAAGAATCACATTTGGATTTATAATTGCACTGACAACTTCCTTGTAGTACTTTTCTAAAAGTGAACGAAACTCTGGTGCCTCGTTTAAGGCATGTAAATCCTTGTCCACTATTGTTGGGTATTATATCAAATTTCCTTGGTACAATGCCATGAGTCCAATCATATCTACTTTCTTCTGACATTATTAGCAATGATCTTTGCGGTAGTAGAAAACATAAATGTTTGTCATTGTTTTTGAATTCCATTATAATAGGTGAACTCAGAGAGAGGCATATTATTGGGTCTTCAAAGGCACTGTGAGTGTCTATATGATGAGGGATTCCTTGACCAGGTGTATAATGGTTAATTGTCAACTGGTCAGGCTTAAATTTTTGTTGGAGTTTTGACCACAAAAAGTTGGTTTCCACAGGCAAGGTTTCACTCATAGGTTTATCTTTGTCTACATTGTTTATATCATAACGAAACTCATAGCCAAAATGTTTCACTAATCTATGTTTCATTGGTTGTGCATCAAAGCTACATAAATTAAGCAACATGTTTTCTTCTTCAATGCTTATGAAATCTTCTAGGAGAATCAGGCCTGGTGGCAATTCTCCCCAAATCCTTTGGTCGTTTAAGTAAGGTATTTGATCAACATAGAGTAAATAAATTGCTTTATTATCTTGGGCAATGTTTAGTTTGCCATTGAAAGTTTCGTAAGCCTTTATAGATGATTCTAGGCTATCATATGAAAGAAAGCTGCAAGATTTGCCTGGTAATAAAGTGATATCAGTAAGATTACCCAGTTGACTGAAATGTTCGTAAATAATTTCTTCAGTGAGTCCACTTACAAGGCCGGCATTGCAAATTGCGAGGTTTTTGGTGGGATTCGGCGAGCTGGTGGCTCCGGATTCTTTTTTCAGGACGTGTTGGAGCTTGGCTAGTTTTCGGTCTAGCTTTTTTTTCTGGCCGATGGATAGTTTTTCGTTGGAGGACATTCTATTCACTTAGAATAATTCAATAAAACGCAATTGCATAGATAAATTTATTAAAAATGTAATGGAAATTGGATATTAAAGAGACACAGAAATTAGCAAAACAACAATCACAATCAGACACCTAACCTCAAACAAAATCGCACATTTGACATGTCAGTGACGTGACGGATAAAAATTTGAGAAGACCACCGATTACAGATTTCTTTTTCTTTTCCTGTGGATGTGGATATCGATGTATAGTACTTTTGTATTTTGGATAGAAAGTCTTGTGTTCAGTTATGTAAATATTCCAGTGCCTAAATTATTGTTGGAGTATCACGCTCCTGGAGTATGACGCACTTGAACTGTTGCACACAAGGAGCACTGGAACCCTCCCGTCTTAACCCCCACCATTTCGGACTTCTGGAGCATGAAACACCGCAATAAAAGGTTGGTGCACGAGGGGGCAGGGGATAACAGAAATGAGTAGTTCAAGTGTACGACACTCTAAGCACTGGAACGCGCAAAGTAATTGTGGAGCACTCCTGAGCTGCTCAGGAGTAACCACTGATCTAAAAAATAATCTAAATTTATTTTTGAGATCAGTGGGAGTTACTCAAATGGGTCACTGGAAAGCACCTCAGGATTGTAAATCGACCTTTAGGGGTGCGTTCGAAATCACCCTGTGAACACCAGCTATTATAGTTGTATTCCTTTCAAGAGTTTGAAACACTCGAACTACTCGTTCCGGTGTTTAGTAGCCCCGGATTTGCAGGGAACATGCGTGGTGCAACAAACACTTTTCGAAAGGGATAAGCGCGTGAAGCCGCGGAGCTATTCCGGAGCTCCTCCTAGGTGTGAAAGGAATACAACTTAAATATGAATTATTCATGGCTGGTCTGCACTCGGTGTGACGCCCAGGGTGATATCGAACGCACTCGAGTAGTTAGTTAATGGATAGAAAATTGGACTGAAGAATAAATCTAATAAACAAGTGTCTTTAGTAAATTATCACTATTCTGTGTTTTATTTACAAGTTGTATTCCTTTCATACCTAGGAGGAGCTCCGGAACAGCTCCGGGGCGTTACGCGCTTGTTCCTTTCGAAAAGTGTTTGTTGCACCTGAGTGCTCAAGCCCGACTCAAACCATTTAAATGCATGAAAGCCAGCGCATCTGTTCCTTTTAAATTAGGGTCTAGTAACACCGGAGCGAGTAGTTGTAGTGTTTCCGGGTATTGCTTTTTCGCGTATTAGGGGCGACTCCATTAGCGTTCGACTATACGGAGTGGAGTAAATGCAGTTCACTCTATGAAGTTCACTCCAAAAGTTCCACCTCGGAAAGAGAATTTTTTAGAGTAAGCAAGCGTAGAAGTGAAATGTGAAAGCTGTCAAACTTGTTGTGTTGTGGTGGACCTCATTCGATTTTTTTTTTAAATTGATTTTCATTAAATAAATGCACAGTGACCTGCTCAGTAAAATTAACAACTTTCTATTACTATTTAACTACCTTATTTCCATCATTATCATCAAAATAAATTAACTTGACAAAGTTAAGCAGAGGCAAAAACATCATATTATTCATTAAGGTCGCGTTAATAGCCGCCATGTTTAAACTGTGATTGGTTTATTTTTCGAAACTTGTTTTAAGGTCTTTAAAAAAACGGCACATCAGAATTGGCTCAAATTTGGCATAAACATTATTTGATCGATTATCTAAAATTCCTTATTTTGGTTTGTCGATATTCAGCTTTTTTTTTTTAATTCAAAAATCATGTTCGCAACCACCAAAACAATTAAATATGTTGGTGGTTGCATATTTGCATGTTTATCAAGCTAGGATCCGTGAAAAGCATATTCTATTGATAACCACGAAAAACTAGAAAAAGCTAATTGTAGAGATTATCGATAATATATCAAATAATGTTTATGCCAAAGGATTTTGGAAATTATTGCGGATTTTTTGAGATGACCTTAAAACGAATTTTGAAGGTGAAAACAGTTCAAACAATTTCAAGTAGATGGCGCCACGGCAAAAAAGCTACATTAGTTGTATTCCTTTCAAGAGTTTGAAATACTCGAGCTACTCGCTCCGGTGTTTAGTAGCCCCCGATTTGCAGGGAACAGATGCGTGGTGCAACAAAAACTTTTCGAAAGGAATAAGCGCGTGAAGCCCCGGAGCTGTTCCGGAGCTCCTCCTAGGTGTGAAAGGAATACAACTATTGGGAGCATCATAATTGTATATTTGTCTTTCTCTGTCACTAAGGGTGGGTATTATAAAACTACTTTTAGAGTTAACTTAAACTTAACTTCTGAAAATACATGTAATTCAAAAAGTTAACTTCAAGTTAACTGTCAAAGCAGTTTTATAATACCCACCCTAAGTGTTTCACCGACAAACAGAATTTTGTTTTTAATAAAATCTTGAACCGTATGTGCAGAATGACGCAGTCGTCATTTTCAAAAACTAAATTTAAACATGGTGGCCATTAACGCGGCCTTAAGTACACGAAAGACCAAAGACAAAAAAAAATGGATTGGTCGTTCGTGTATTAATTTTTCACTCTAATCACTCCTAGATCACGTGACAACAATCTGCTCTTACTCCACTCCAACACCGTGCTGAACCAAATTTTCGCGACGAGACGAACTACTTATAAAACAAACGCTTTCGCGAGAAACCCATGATGTCATATTGAACGTAGTTCGTCGGAAGCATGGACGCAGCAGCTTCTAGCCAGCGTTCAAACTCATGACGTCACAGACGAACTATGGTTCGTCACTGCATGAACTACATTCATTGCAAAAATTCGGTTCTGAATAGCCGAACTCAGCTTAATAGACTCAAGTATAACATGACAAGCTCTATTCCAACCGTTCCAGAACCAATAATTTCCAGTTGCCCACCTATTTTTCAATAATTTAAACATGTTGAAACTTGCAAAATAAATTGATCGACCGAAAATTACCGTTCTAGAATTGTTCTCATGTCGGTTAGAACAATGGTTGGAACAGAGCTAATATCGATATAAAAAAGAAGAGGGACTTTGAAAGAATATCGTATCGATATACACATGAATTTGCACAAGTTTTTATGGAACAACTTTTTTAAATTCAATTATTGAACAATGTAGCTGAATTTGGAACTTTTTAAATTTTGGCGCGTACCTAAATTTTTGAGGTCAAAATCACACTCGGTTATTCACATGCCATTCATATAAAACAGAAATTCAAGCAATTGGAACACTTTAGAGTAACTCGAACAATAGAAGGAATTCAAATTTTAGGTAATCCAATCCATCTGTCAGACACAAAATTCAATATGACGTGGCGGCCAAGCAAGTTTATTTTGAATATGTGTTTTTTATGTTTATTAGTTATTTGCTAAGTTATTTGCTTAGAGTTTTGCTTGCAAATTTGATGTCCGTTCCAGTCAAGGATGTTACCCACCTACAGGATTGCTTACCGGCGACGTTTTTGGTAATCGCCGTTGGTAATCGACGTCATAACTAAGTCTTGAGCTGTTTAAACAGTCTACGTCAAAGCCAAGGATGATACACACCTTTAAGGTTGCTTATCAGCCTCGTTTTTCGTAATCGGCACCATATTGGAGTGTTGACCATTTCAGACGTCATAACTAAGTCGTCAGCTGTTTAAAGTTTAAACAGCTTATTTCAAGGCCACACAGGTCTTATGGAGGATAGGCTATCCTGTAGTAGTAGTAGTGTGTATCATCCTTGCGTTCCAGTTAGGCACTAGCTGACGTCACACACATAACCTCATCACTTTCGATCGGGAGACGAACAAAGCGAAGTTCTATTTATAACACACAGGCGCTAGCTATTACGTCACAAATCATATAACGACATTTCGATAGGGGGACAAAAATGTCAGTGGGATGGATCCCCCCATCGAAAGTGAGGTTATGTGTGTGACGTCAGCTAGTGCCTAGTAGTTACGTGTAATATACAGTGCGCATTTTGTTATGATAGATAGAGTAAAGTAGTAGGACAATCACTCTTTGCATGAAAACGTGTGTCCGCAAACGTCTCATTAAGAAAATACGGAATGTTGAAATTTTCGGAAAATTTTGACTTTTTGCCTTAAGATTCAAAATGCCTTGAGCGATTTTGTTCCAATTTTCAGTTTGGAATGTTCTCAAGCATCTCTCTATAAAATCCGTTTGAATTCCACTTTTTCAGGACCGAACCTAGAGCCACTCTTATTTTTTAACAGAGTAGAGTGGAGTATATCGAACAACGAGATTTTCCAAACAATAAATTGATATTTATTTTTTATCTCGTAAACGTCGCATCGAACAAGAAAAACTTGGGATACCTTTTTTGTTTAAAATTAAACAAGGAATCAACTTATAATTTTTAATTTGTCAAAAAACCCAGGGGCGTACTAATTAAAAAAATAAAATAAATAGGAATCGCTCTAGGTTTGGTCCTGGAAAAGTGGAACTCAAACGGATTTTTCAGAGAGATGCTTGAGAACATCGCACATACTCTCTGAAAATTTGCACAAAATCCCTCAAGGCATTTTGATTCTAAAGGCAAAAAGTCAAAATTTTCCGTTAATTTCAATACTCTGTATTTTCTTAACAACAAGCCGTTTGCGGTCTCAGATACCTATGCAAAAAGTGATTGTCCTAATGTATTCTGTATTCTATTTATCATAACAAAATGCACACTTATTTCGCACCCACCCTGTATAGTTCATTGCTTAGCACCAAGCGCTGATAGTGGTGACGTCACCCGCAGTCCTGCTGCCGATTCGAGAACTGGCGAAAATCGTACGCCCTTTTGCTTATAAGGACGAGCAATAGTTTGGTGCAGTATTCTTGAGCTGAAACCACCACTACAACTCCTTATAGTCAAACCCTTTCAAAGTCCCAATGGCAAGATTATTTGGGACCTCTCAAACTCCATTCAATAAATTATTCTGCGAGACGAGGATAAGATTCACTGAAAATTTCAGCTTTCTATCTATTTATAACAGAATTGAAGTTACTTATGATTCCGAAATCGTCGAAAAAAAGACGATCTTTATTAAAAATAATACAGCGATTCTTTATTTCACACTCATTTTGTTGAGCTACCATAACACTCTTCATCAGATTTGGGCAAAATCCCTTCAACCAAAGACACGAATCGTTCAAATGGACAAAACTCCTCACATTCAGGTAGTTTCAGTGGTCCCCGTGGGTCTTCACTTGAGTAATCTTGATAAAAAATCTTAAAACAAACGTTTAGGCAAACTAGCTAAACTAAAGCAAATCCATTTCCACTTACTTTAACTCCATAAATCTCATCAATTCTATGAATTTCCACAGCTAAATATGAAGCATAAGGAGGCAATTCTACAACTTTCAACATATCCAAAGAAAGTAACAAGGCAGCTATATTTGTCTCATGTCCAGAATAAATGTGCATTTTTCTCCCTTGAGGACTGAAACCGTTGATTTTGTTTTGAGTGTCCGTAATGATTTTTTTGAGAAGATAACCCGACATAATTGTCCTTAATTTTGTATTATTAGTTTCGACATAATAATATTCAATGGCCAAAGAGCGCAACGGTTCCGGATATACAGTATAAACCCAATAATCTAAAGGAATATTCAAATTTTCTTGTATAGTGAATCCAAAATACAAAAAGAACGCCTTCAAATAGGTGATGTTTTGTAGTCCGGTGCCATTTTCTAAAATTCTAAAAACTTCACCGTATCTTGCATTGATGTAATCACTAGAATTATTCATAACTTCATTTACAAGCGCATCAAGGGTGGTACAACCAAGAAACGGAGAAAGTTCCTTATCGTTTGCTCTTTTTTCGTAATTGTATGGTATTGGCTGCCAAAGTAAAACTGGGTTCCAAATACTTGAACAAGTTGGTGGCCATAGGCCTGCTAACATAAGTTCCACAGACATTTTTGTTCTATTATAGTCTGTGGTCAATATATCCAATGAGCTCATATTCCAAGCTTTGCCTAAGAAATTGTTGTATCTTTTTCGGAGGTTTTTACCCAACTCGTACACACGGACTTTGCCTACATTAGTTAACTGACCGTATCCATAAGGGTAATAATTGTTTTCAGCGTAATATGGATTGTTGGGGTCCAAATTGTTGGTTTCTGGGGTTCTATCCCCATGCCTGAACAGCTGAAATAAATTAGGATATAATGGAATTATTTGATAAGGTTGTACTTACCAAGTGAACTAGTTCCAAAGTGGATTGGTTTGCATAAAAAGATCTGGCTGGAAATGCGTTGCAACTTTGCCACCATAGTAAAATCAGCGGTATAGAAATCAATAGGAATTCCATTTTATGTTTTTGATTATAGCTAAACATGCATTGAATAAATGTATTTTCCTCGGAGAAAAAAAATAAGCTTCCCTCAACCAATGTTGGTATTTATGTTCTAAGAAAATTCAAGCGCCTGGAATAAAAAATTGACAAAATATATCAAATTTGGCATTAAAAAAAAATCAAGAGTTAAGAATAAGTAGGTACTCAAAAATCGAGACGAAAATACACTTTCAGACAAAAATGAGAAACTTCAACGACAATCCTAGACAAATCTCAATTTTTTGAGTGAGTTATTCTGATTTAAACTTCTAACATACAATGATTTCATAAAATTTAATGTTCCATAACTTACTTCACCAGTGTACAAGGTGGTTTTTTATATATTGACACCCCACCTACAGCCTTTACCTTTACAGGTAGAAGAAAGGTGTAAATACAAAAGTTGTACAGTATATTGGCTAAATTTTTAGAATCCATGGTCAGAATCAAAAATTGAATGTCAGAAATGCGAAATATTGCACGCTTTCAGCTTTTTTCAAATGGGATGCGCTATATTTGATTCTATATTCTTGTAGAGCACAATTTCCCGATTTCAAATTTATATAGTTTGTCTATATTCGGTTGAGCCGTCTCCAACATATTCATTGGTTCTAAAAATACTATCAGAAAAACCAAGTAGGTACCTCAAATTTTACCTACAGCTTTCACCTGTATAGGTAGAATGATTTATAAAATCAGTAGTAGGGTAGGATAGTATTTTCACAATTTTTGGAACCAAATATATGAGAGATTGCTCAATCAAATATAGATCGGAGCATTATGTTCTTCAAGAATATAGAATGAAATAGGGCATTCCATTTGAAGAAAGCTGGAAGCATGCAAAATTTATTCACATTTCTGACATTCAAATTTTGTTTCTGACCACGGTTTCTGCCAAAACTGTAGATACAACTTATTTTGTATTTACACACCTTTTTTCCACCTGCGAAGTTAAAGGCTGAAGGTGGGGTGTCAATATATAAAAAAACACCCTTTACAAATAAGTAGATTATTGCGGAACTTATGGGTGGACCTCTGCGGGACGAGCGCAGCGAGTTCCGCAGCCATCTACTCACCAATATACTGTTGAACTGTTTAAATAAGACACTCACTTGAAACGTGTAGTATTTGAAGTAATGAAAAAATTTAACAACAGTGAATCAGGTTAGTATTGTACTTGAACAACATATTGGTGAATAGATGGCTGGGTCCACCTATAAGTTCCGCAACAATCCACTTGTTTGTACTTGAATAACTTGTCACAATATATTATTAGTTTATTGGTAAAGCAGTAACATTACTAATTTCTGTTAGAAGGCAAATTGACAAAAAGTGGATAATCTTACAAAATTTTGACTTTATATAATAAGTTATTGTTCAAGTACAAATAAGTCAAATAAGTGAATTGTTGTGGAACTTATGGGTGGACCTCTGCGGGACGAGCGTAGCGAGTTCCGCAGCCATCTACTCACCAATATACTGTCGAACTGTTCAAATAAGACTCTCACCTGAAACGTGTACTTTTTAAACTAATGAAAATAACTCACATTTGAGTGAGTCAGATCGGGGTAGTATCGTACTTGAACAACATATTGATGAATAGATTGCTGGGTCCACTCATAAGTTCCGCAACAATCCACTTGTTTGTACTTGAATAACTTGTCATAATATATTATTAGTTTATTGGTAAAGCAGTAACATTACTAATTTCTGTTAGAAGGCAAATTGACAAAAAGTGGATAATCTTACAAAATTTTGACTTTATATAATAAGTTATTGTTCAAGTACAAATAAGTGGATTGTTGTGGAACTTATGGGTGGACCTCTGCGGGACGAGCGTAGCGAGTTCCGCAGCCATCTACTCACCAATATACTGTCGAACTGTTCAAATAAGACTCTCACCTGAAACGTGTACTTTTTAAATTAATGAAAATAACTCACATTTGAGTGAGTCAGATCGGGGTAGTATCGTACTTGAACAACATATTGATGAATAGATGGCTGGGTCCACTCATTAGTTCCGCAACAATCCACTTGTCACACTATATTCCTAGCATAGCATATACAAAAACAATCAGCAGGCTAACTCGAGTGACAGCCCGTGTAATAAAGAAATTCATGATCTGGACGTCACTAGCGGCCATTTTGGGATACGAGACAGGGCCAGAGAAGTGTTTAGAATATAATATAAAATTTATTTTGCTCCGACCTAATTCCACTCATATTTATCAGCCTCTAGATGTGGCATATTTCAAACCCCTAAAATCTGCCTGGCGAGACATTTTTTTGGAGTGGAAATTGAAGAACAAAGGAACTGTACCAAAAGATGTTTTTCCAAGGCTTTTGAATAAGTGCCTTAACAAACTCGATATTAATAATAACTCATAACGCAATCTTCAGGCAGGTTTTAAAGCTAGCGGAATTTTTCCTGTTGATAGGAGCGCAGTGTGAAAACTGTTGATGTTGTTGAACCTGCAAATATCAATTTGGACAACGCTGTAATGGATAATGCTTTCAAATCATTTATAAAAAATCTTGACGTGAAGGAAACTTTACCGACAAGGCCGAGAGTCTCAAAACAAAAATTAAAAGTTAAACCAGATGCTACAAATCTAAACGACGATAAGGAAAATCAGGATCCAACTGCTTCAACTTCAAAAGACGTCATGGACAAACATCTTCCAGATGAAGAGGGGTCTGGAGAATCTCTTCCATCATTTATTATTCAAAAACAGAGGACCTAAATATCGCTACAAAGAAAAAATTTATCTGAATCCGATTCTGCAACATGGTCAACACAAGATAGCTCGGACACCCCAGAAAACTTTGATGAAATGCGGATTTAATGAACATGGAAGAAGGTGAATTTGTCTTCATATATTTAGTTCGCTTACAGGAAAGAAGATTGTCCAGAAGAAATTTATTGGATAAATAATTGAAATTATATCTGATGGGTTATTTCTTTGTAAATTTTTGCGAAAAGCTCAGGTGGAATAAACATATTTGTTTTCCCAGAAGTCCCAGACACTTCAGAAATAAATATATGACGCAAATAATTTGTCGTGTAAAGCCAAGTGTCATCAAACGAAGGAGGCACGTTTTTCCTATTCAAGTCTAGTGATGTAAATATGAATTACTCTTAAGTATTATTTCGTTTATATTAGTTTAAGGAATTGAGTTATAGAGAAACATGTTTATTTCTTGTTATTTGTTGCAGAAATGTCTCCTATTTTGTTTCTAAAAAAATTAGGTTTTTACTGTTTTTCGATAAATAAATTGTATTTGAAACAAAATTTTGTTTTTTCTATAAAGATTTATATTGTACATAGGTTTACTATCTTTTAAAAAAGTTATGTTTTGTCCCAATTCACTCTTTTGGCTTGAAACATGAGCAAAACCTTGAAATACATGGTTGTCGATCTCAAGTCACTCAATGTGGGAAAGTTTTTTATTATCAATTTTACGAGAAAAACTTATTCTTTATAAAAGTTTCTGCTTCTTGAAAAAATAATATTAAACTAATAAAACTTGAAATAGCATGTACAGGATAGTCAAAAAATAGAAAAATATACAAGGTGTTTCCTAAGTACCGTTCTTAACTTCAGGACGTGATTCCTTAAAAAAATTTAAGAGAAAAAGTTCTCATAAACATGTGTCCGCAAATGCGTAGTTTCTGAGATACAGTGTGTCAAAGTTTAAAAAAAAATCGTTTTTTTAGCTCAAAAATCCCTTTTCCAATATATTTTTTTTAATCTGGCAATTTTGTTTGTGATAATGAAAGGTATTTTTTGACTGTAAAATGATTTGCTTAATCTGAAAAAAAATATCAAAGGTTTTAAAAAATAGTGACCTGCCATTTTTTTTTCTACTCTGTGCGTTTTTTTTTTTTAAAGATAATTCCCCAGGTCAAAAGTCTAGTAACTATGTTGGCAACACAAGCCTTTTCTACATACAAAATTTGAAAGCATTGACAATTTTACATTGTACTGCCAACATAATGTCATTTTGACTTTTATCTTTAAAAAAAAACAGACTTTATGATATTTCAAGTTTCAATAGTTTAATATTATTTTTTCAAGAAATAGAAACTTTTATAAAGAATAACCTTTTTCCATAAAATTGATAATAAAAAAGTTTCCCATATGCTGCAAACTTAATAATGAGTTATTGTTCAAGAAGAAATAAGTGCATTGTTGCGGAACTTATGAGTGAACCTCTGTGGGACGAGCGCTGCGAGTTCCGCAGCCATCTACTCACCAACATACTGTTGAACTGACAAATGTCACATTCAAAAGGATAAATAATCGAGTGTATTCGTTGGTGACTTTTTAATAAGCGTTTTTGTCTGAATTTTGCTTTGCAAGTTTCACATTCAAACAGTGTTGCCAACTGATGGGATGTGAAAATATCTAGATTTGAAAAAAAATATCCCTAGAATTCCTTAGAATTTATTTTTTTTCATATTCATTTCAGAATTATTTTTACAGCCTAATAATAATTGTAATATGTATTGTGGTACTTGTAATTTACAAGAAAAAAAAATCATATTTTCAAAACTAATCGCACTAATCCTCAAGTTTTTAAAAAACAACACAAAATTTCCAAAAGCAAAAACATTGTTATGACGTCACTGGTAGCGATAGTAACGACTGTCTTCTAATTCGACGCGATTGTTGCGGAAATCCTCAAACACATCATGTTACACAAAAGGCAAAAAGCGCTTTACTTCCGATGTTTTGAAGAATATATAATAATATCATTTTATATGTTTATTTTTTCAGAAATAATTAAATTGTTTAAGAAAAATTAAAAATATCACAAAACCCCTAGAATTTCCCTATATCCCTAGACAATTTTTTTCTCTATATTTATCCCTAGAACTAGGGACAATTCCCTAGAGTTGGCATCACTGCATTCAAATGGATAGATATTCAAATGTGTCATTGAATGTTTCTTCAAATATTCAGTGGTTTTAAATTTGACATCGCATATATTACATTTATGATTCTTTTCAAACTGCCTTCATGCCTAAACTTTACTTTGCAAGTGTCACATTCAAAACGATAGATATTCGAGTGTATTAATTGGTGCC